CCCATTGCCTTACTGCTTGCATGTTTTCTGCTGAGAAATCCGAGCTTATTCTTACTGGTTGTTCTTTGTAAGTAACACTTTGTTTTTCCTGTGCTTTCAGGCTTCTTTCTTTGTCTTTGGTTTTGATGAGTTTGATGATGCTATGTCTTGGTGATTTTCTTTTGGGGTCTATCCTGTTTGAGGTTCGTTGGACTTCCTGAATGGGTATATTCTCATCTTTCATCGTGTCAGGAAAGTTCTCCTCCAATAAATCTTGGGCAATTTTCTCAATAGCTTCATTTTTCTCTTCCTGTTCTGCAATTCCAATGACACGTAGGTTATTTCTTTTGATGGTATTCCAAATGAACCTTAGCCTTTCTTCATTTTTTTAAAAAAAAATCTTTTTTCTGATTACTTTCCAAAGAAGTATGCAAGTATCTGTTTGCAATCTCATTAATTCTGTCTTCCATTGCATCTATTCTACTCCTTTGTCCTTTCAATGTGTTATCTATTTCTGACAATTTAGTATTAATCTTCTGTATTCTAACTGTAGATTTAGAATCATTTCTAATTTTTCATTTATTTTGTCATTTTGTTCTTGTATTTTCTTCCAAGATTCATCTAGGGTTTTGTCTGTGTTTTCCTCGGTCTGTCTCTCAACCCTTTGAAGATACCTAAATATAATTTTTTTGAATTCCTTATCTGGGAGTTCCAATGCTGCTTTTTCCTCAGGGACGTGTTTTGGATCTGTATCCTGCTCCCTTGTTTCTACTACTTTATCCGGCTTCTTTTTGTGGACTGTGATAGTCTGTTGTCTCCAAGACGCCGTGGCATTGTTGTATTTAGATCCCTGTTAAAAGAAAAAGGGTAGAGAACGAGAATAATGAAGAAAAAATGGAAAAAACACAGAAGAAAAATAAGGAATGGGGTTAACCATGAAAAAGAAAAAAAAATTGCAACCAGGAACAGGGAAAAGAAAAAAAGCTGAAAACTAGAACCTGGGAGGGGAAGAATAAAGAATAATAATAAAAAGGACAAAAGTAATAATAATAATAGTAGTTTTAAAACAGACAAAAGCAATGAAACTAAAAACGGGAAAAAAATTAGGGCAGGGAGGGGCAAGGCACCCAGACACCGTTCCGAGCACACTGACTAGGATGGAATTCCTGCCGGCCCAAAGAGTGAGTGGGGGTGAGGAATGGCCACACCTCTGTTCACCAAGAGGGTGTGGAGTATAAGAGTAGTAAGGGGAATTTCGCACCTTTCCAGACGTTTGGGTCTGGAATACCCTTACAGTTCCCAGCAAGTGGAGCCTGTTCTTAAGTCTCTGGAATCTGGGAGGACGCTGTTGCTTTAAATATCCAAAATGGTCAAGCCACTTGTAAACATTCAAAATGGCTGCACCCTCCGGACAGACAAAAGTCCACAGCTCAGCCCGCTTTCCTCTTCACTGGTTCCCTTTTCATTCCCCAACTGCCAGAGCAGTCCTCCATGCCGTCCGTGGCTAGCAGGGCTGATTTTTAGGTTCTTAGGTCCTACCACCACTCGGCAATATCCAAGCTGTCTGTGCCGTCAGGATCGCTGCCAGATCGCAGCTTCGTATGTCTCCTTTTTTGGTGTTTTCATGCAAATTCTTCCGCTAGTTGGAGTTTAGTCTATATCTTTCCCTTCATGGCTCACAGTTCCAGGATTATCTTCTCTATGCGTGTTAATTGGTTCCTTTTTTCTTTGTTGAAGAGGGCCTGTGCAGTCTTTCTGCATATTTCGTCATCTTACCGGAACCCTTAAGGTTTATATTTGTGTTTTCAGTCTTCATTTTTATCTAGTAGTTTCTTTTAAATGGCTTTACTGTTGAGAAGTCCATTTCCTTATTGTACCTCCAACAATTGTGCCCTATATGTCCAAAGTTCTTTCCTACCGGCAACTGTTAATCATCACAATATACAATGTCAAGGTTTTGGACAGGATTCCATTTCTAGTGCTTAATAGGAAATTTATGGCCTCTAACATGAAACTTAGAACCTGCTTATATTCCTATCATAGGAATCTTTATTGTGCCTGACAATAAAGCCTCTCACTTTATTATCTAAAGTGATAGAATGTTCACTACATTACAAGGCTGGTCAATGGAATTAAGAAAGGCCTACTAGGGTGCAATGAATTACTTGGTATGTCTCTCCTAGCCATGGTTTTTGTGACTCCCACCAGATGACCGGGTGAGACTCTGCAAATGGGAGGTTGTTTGTTCCCCACCAAAAGGACTAGATAGCTTGTTAGTAATGTAAATAAGGTACAAGGCACCCTTGTGGGGATGGAACCATGGAAATATGTTATATGAAACTCTATTGTGGCGACTGATAAGTTTTGTCATTCCACTAGGCTTAAAATGAGCCCTCTCAGAGGCAGAAGGGGGGATGGGATCTCACTACCATAAAGACAGAGAAGAGCCTGTAGTGGAGCATGTTCTTTGACCCAAGATCCTTACACTAAGATGACTGCATGGCAGCAGAACCTAGAGACTGGCACAAGATAGACTGGCCCACAGAGAGAGAAAGTCGAGTATCTTTGGGCAGAAGGCTTGCTGACAGAATGGGGTGCATCAACTGCAGAGCTAAAAGAGCTCTGTAACAGTTGCCTGAGTGGGGCAGAGGCCAGGCCAAGGGACCAAGGGCCAAAGAGAAGCATGCCTATGGGCATGGCTGGGGGAGGCTGTCCTGATCAAAGAATAGTATCCTGAGCATTTATGAACCTGAACTGTGACCTGTTACTTCTCTAATAAACTCCATGATAACAAGTACTGTCTGTGAGCTGTGTGTGGCCCCTGCAATGAATTACATAACCCAACAGAGAAGCAGACAGTGCCCTGGGAGGGATGGCTGGTGTCAGAGTTAGTAAAAGGGCTGGAGGGTGGCGGTATGTCTGACCTCCATTCATAGGGATCAGCCTTGGGTTGATCTGCTGATGGTGATTTGGTCTCCCCTTGTAAAACGGGAGGTCAGAGTATGCCACCCCCATGCCCTTTTTGCATCTAGATAAAGAACAATTCAGAAAAGGTGGGTGAGAATGGTTGCACAACGTGAAGAATATAATCAATGGTCACTGAATTACACATGCAGATATTGTTGAATTGGTATATGTTCTGCTGTGTATATACTGTTGGTGTTAACAACAATAAGAATAAATAAACAAGACAGAAAGGTCTAGAAATGAAATGTTTGCTAAATTTAGCTTGTAAGATTCTGGATATATACGTGCACTATCCATATATTCGGGAGCTCTGGTAGCATAGTGCCTAAAGCACTTGACTGCTAACCAGAAGGCTGGTGGTTCAAACCCACCAGCCACTCCTCGAAAGGAAGATGGGGCAATCTACTTCTGTAGTGATACAGACTTGGAAACCCAAGGAGGGGTCCCTATGAGTCGGGTCCAACTCAACGGCACATAACAACAACAACATTATCCATAGATTCAGTTATGGTAGGTGTTCAAGAAATTTGGCTACATTTATCTGTAAGGATTATCACTGAGTTACATGAAATGAAGAAGAGTTAGTAGAGTTAAAATCTTCTTGTTTTTGTTAGAGTAGCTGGAAATCTCACCCAGGTACAAGAATATGCCAGTCTTACATTTTAAGCTAATCCAAAATCCACCTTTGGAAAGGACTTCTAGATTACCACTGGATCAAGTACACATTTAAGAACATAGATTAACAAATATTTCCTGTTGATTTTCTAGTGTATGTTATTCACAGACTGATTTTCCATGAATCTAATTCACCTGTGTTGTGTTATTACCAAGTGGAGAATGAAAATTGGTAGTACAATTTATGAACTGACGGAATAAATAGCATGTGGACAAGACCTCATCATATGAATTATTAACTGGTTTTCTGTAATTTGCACAAAATACAAGCGATTTTATTTTAGATATTAAAATACTTTCTCCTTTTCTGAATTTACCATAACTAATACTCTACTAACCTTTCAGCTGTCTACACTGAATATACAAAGTTATTGAGAAAGACGCAGCAAGAATTTCAAAACCAATGATCATGATCATCTCTGTCCCATCCTATTTGTGCCAGTATATAAAATGCTGTATTTCTCTAGTCCTGGGTTATGAATGTCTGACATATGGACAACTCCTACTGGCCCTTTAATACAGGGCTTCAAATAGATTCTGTTACAGCCCACAAAGTAGAACAGGAATAGACCTGAATCTTCACAATTTGGGTGATCATCACATTAAACAGAACAGGAAAAGATTACAGGCTGAAGCTCTGGAATGGGAGACTCAGAAGAGGCATAGTGAACCCTTTCAGGAGCCTAATGTGTAAGACTGGATTATTGGCAGGATTCTGGAAAGCCACACATATTTAAAGCAGCACAGGCTGACCAACATCTTTGAGCAGGGCAGCATGGCTTCAAAGCCCTGCTTTATTGTTATGTAAATTTACCCTCACTTTTAAACAACTAAACCAAGCTATACTCATAGGAAATTCTTCATCACAATTACCTTCACTTGTTGCACGTGCAGCTTTTAAATTACTAAAAAGGTTTTGAGCCTTTTCTTGCACTAAAGGAAAGTTGGGAGCTCTGGTAACGTAGTGCCTAAGGCACTTGACTGCTAACCAGAAGGCTGGCAGTTCAAACCCACCAAGCACTCCTCAGAAGGAAGGTTGGGCAATCTACTTCCGTAGTGATACCGCCTCAAAAACCCAAGGATGGGTTGCTATGAGCTGGGTCTGACTCACCGGCACATAACAACAACAACAAAGTAAGGCTAAAGAACCATATGCACCTGTTGCAACTTCGACTTAAAGACACATTTAGGAATGGATCTCATACCTAACCCAAGGACTGACTGTATGTGTATATGTGTATCATAAAATTCCACCAATAAATTGAGTTTTATCTTCCAATAAATTAAAAATAAACTTATTTTAACATAACTATTATTTTGATTCTAAATCTACTGATAGACTTTCTGATACAGCTATTCAAAAAATAATTTTTTATTACCTGGGATTGGGAGGGTATCCGGATGGGTATGCAGAGATCCCACTTGGCATACCTGGCATGTAGGAAGCTAAAAACAATTTTTAACAGTTTTTAATAACAGGCATCATCCTGAGTATGTAAACTGTCAAATAATATATACATCACTATCAAATCACAGCAAAATCTCACACAGTTAAAGAATCCAAATCTCAGTACCAAAACAAAACACTCCATCCATACTAGTTCTTTACTTCAAGCAGTAAATATTTTCAAATCTCATAATTCTCAGATCATTCAACATGAATTACAACACTTAAGATAATCCGAACAGGGAATAATTGCCAAGAGGTCAACCTAGTCAGCTCTAAAACCTCTCAAGGAGTCTTTAAGCTGATAGGAGACTGGTTCAATCTGGAATTTACAGGAAGGCAATTCTGCTCTCCTCTAGTCCAGTATCAACTTCTCAGAAAGTGGCATGTTTATTTAAAAAATCTTTTGATATTTCTTTTAAGATTATGTTGCCCAATAAGCACAACTGGTTTTTGTTGGCCTGATTGAGGACTTTAAAAGACTTCAGATTATTATTAGAAGTATGATACAAAACTTATATTCAGAGAGACTGGTTAAAAACAAAACAAGACAAAAACTTGGAAACACTGTAAATATTACACTAAGGAAAAAAAAAATCAAAATCCAGCAAACTTAAAAAGAAAAAAAAAAGGTTTTATATATTCTTTAAAGAATCACTAATGGCAATGGTACCAGGATGCTGATGAATACAGAGGAAGAAGGGAAGAAGTTAATCTTGGCCTTAACTGGAAATGATTTGTTCTGAGAATCAATTTTTCTTCAGTGAAACTTTTCTCACTAAATATAATGATGAATTAGCCCTTAAATCAATCAATAAATCTTTTACAGCCTACTTTGTGGCAGCCCCTGGGGATCTAATGGAAAAAAAAACAAAAAAACCCTGGCCTCCAGTTGGCTGAAGCCTAGTGCAGGAGATAAAGAAGCAAGCAACAACAGTAATACTATAGAGTGGTGAGTATTGTGACAGGGTAACTACAGAGTGCTGTATGGAGGATCAGCTTAATCTTAGGGATCAAGAGTGAACAAAAGTGATAGAAATGGTATATGAAGGTCTGAAGGCAAGAGAAGTAGAACTTTTAAGAAATAAAAGCATCACAGAAAGCAAGGGAGTAGGAGAGGTATACAGAGCTTACACCAAGAAGGGCCTTAAAAGCCTTTACCAGAGTTGGTGAGCATAAATGTGCAAACAACTGTGTCCACAGCCTTCTGGTTAGGATGAATATTAGAGATCCACAAGTAATTTTTTCTTAAGCATAAAAAAGCTATGATGATGTTCAACGGTATTTCAGAAATTAAAACCTCTCAAAATGTCACAATTTTTCTTCTCAAGTACAAAGGACATTCTAACATCTTTATGAAAAGCTGAGGCTACTATTAAGTGTTAGCAAAATACTTAGTCAATTATGACCCCTCCATGCAGGCTATTTACTCTTACACATATAAACCACCAACCCACTGTTACAAGCATTTTTCTCACAATTACAAACAATTTTCCTTTGCCATCCCAAATCACTAAGGTTCTGAAAACAAATTTCACCAAAGTCTTCAAATTTTAATTTGGTTGACAATAAATGTCATTTGGATCCAAGACTAGGAAGAAAGCAAATAATAGATAGGGGCAAGTAATTTTAGACCCAGAATAAAGTGGGATAATAACACATATAGTATATGGGGTTATTGTGATGATTAAATGTGAATGGATATGAAGTGTTTAGTGCTGACTTATAGGTGTCACTCAATAAATACTGACTATTGTTACTGGTCAAAAAATGAAGTTTGACCATAACAGCATTTTAATGTAACTTAAACTGTAAGCTCAGATTTTAAAGTAAGCTCAAAAGTCACATGAAATAATTTTTTTTTTCATTTTTTAAAACATTTTACTTGGGAAAAATTTTCAAACTTATAAAAAATTTTTAGTAGTAAAGAGCACTGCTATTCCCGTGACCCAGATTTACATAGTTTTTTCTTCTCTTTTGTTGTTGTTGTTAATATAAAGAGCCAAACACATACCAATTTAACAGTTTCTACATGTTCAATTTAGTGACAGTGATTAACGTTCTTCAAGTTGTGCTACCATTCTCACCCTCCTTTTCTGAGCTGTTCATCCCTCATTTAACATAAATTCACTTTCAAACTGTTGTCAATTTGATCCCATAGAGATCTTAAACGAGCACAATGCTCAAGGCAAACATTTTTTACCATTTAAGTTAAACTACTCTTTGGTTTCAGGAAGACTTTAGGGGATACTTTTGGTTTAAGGTTTAAACATTATCTCAGGTCAACAGTTTCAGAGGTTCGTCCACCCTCCATGGCTCTAGAAAGTCTAGAGTCCATGGGAATTTGAAACTCTGTTCTGCATTTTCTCCCCTTTGATCAGGATTCTTCTATGGAATCTTGGATCAAAACATTCAGTAATGGTAGCTGGGCACCATCCAGTTACTCTGGTCTCATGACAAAAGAGGCAGTTGTTCATGGAAGCAATTTCTCTCTTTCTTCCTCCAGGTGGCTCCAGGTGAATAGAGACTTGTGCTTTGGAAAGCTGCTTGTGAGCTTTTAAGACCCCTGACACTACTCATATGAAATAGGAGGAAGAATAGAAGCATTAAACATGTTATGATACTAATTAACTGGGATGGTCCATGAAACGATGACCCTAACACTTCAAACCAAGGAACCAAGGCGTTTGGCTGTACATACGCAGCCTCAGCAGTTATTCATTTTTTGGTTGTAAATACATCACATAACTTTTGCCAATTCAACTTTTCGCAGGTGTACACCTTATTTTATTGATAGCAAAAAAATCACGTAATTTTACTGTAAGCTCAAAAACCATCCTAAAAGAAGATATTAAAATTGTTTTGAGTAATGATAATAGAAATCTCTAATTTGTCAACTTTGAAGATAAAATATTTCTGGTATTTTCCTTGTTGGGAGGAGGAGGAAATGAAATTCAGACCTTTAAGACTTTACAGTCACACCTAACAATAATATATACTGTCTAGAGCTCTGGTAGCATAGTGCCTAAGGCACTTGACTGCTAACCAGAAGGCTGGCGGTTCAAACCCACCAGCCACTCCTCGGAAGGAAGATGGGGTAATCTACTTCTGTAGTGATACTGCCTCGGAAACCCAAGGAGGGGTCGCTATGAGTCGGGTTCGACTTGACAGTAATAACAACAGCAACAACACATGTATAAAACTGATTACCACTAGAATGAGCAACAAAGTGGCCTCTTTTAGTAATTTACTTAAATTAGCTCTAGAATGTTTAATGTGACTTACAGTAAGCAAGTGTAAAACTGGACTGCAATAGTGACTGTAGTGTAGATATTCTCTAGAATGCTGCACTTCCGGTATCAAAATAAAACTGGAAAATTTGTTTTTAAAACGTTGCTTAGGAGACTATCTAAATTTGTGAAAAGATTACCTTTATCCTAAGTGGTCACTGACTATATTATTTGACCAAGTAAGCAGTGAATGATAAAACTAGAGAATACCTGATACAGGCAGTTCCTAAATCTGTCTTTAAGTCAAATTTGTAAGTAAGTCAAACAGGTATGACTCATACCTAAAATCAGCAAGTCAAATGTTTGTCTTAGTATATAACGTACCTTTCTATACATAAAAAACATTCAAGAAACACTTCTAGATACACTAAAACATATTTAATAATAAAATATTTGGATGTCCATTGCAAAGTAACACCAGTTTCTTATTAAAAACAATGCATGTAGCTCTAATTTTAATATAATAGGCTTTATGTGGACTGGTCATTAACCATGGGGTTGCGGGAAGCCAGACATTTATAACCTGGGGACTTCCAAAATTTATATGATAAAGAATCTTCAATTTTAGGTTCTAGAGATAACAGAAGAAGCTCTCGTGGCACAATGCCTAAGGCATTTTGACTGCTAACCAGAAGGTTGGCAGTTCAAAGCCACAAGCTGTTCCATGGAAGGAAGATGGGGCAATCTACTTCCACAAAGATTTGCCACCTCAGAAACCCAATGGGGGTCGACTCAATGGCAGTGAGTTTGGTTTGGTTTGAGAGACAACAGAATTATAAAAGATGAAAACAAATTTTTTGCCCAAAAGAATCTCCAGAATCTTTATTAGAAGGGCTGCTAAATCCTTAAACCATGCTTATTCTGGGATGGTAAGAAGAGGAAAATGGGATCAAAATATCCTTTCTTTTAGAATGCTATTTCAGCTGAGTCAAGATGTTCCTAAAGATAGGGTGGATTTAAAAGAAATAGGATAATTTCAGTAGAAGAAAAATAGGATAATTTCAGTAGAAGAAAAATGATAGCTCACATACTTTGGCTTATGAGACAAATTTGATTAATTATAACCATAAACAAAATGTACCATAAAAATATGCAACTCAAACCAAAATGAATTCAATACAGATACAGTAATGTCAAAAAAAGTAAGTACAACCAATTCTCGGTTACTTAAGGTGATGTTAAAGTATCAGAATTATTTTAAATTACAGATAACATGTATCAGTTAGGGGAGAAATGGTACTGTCTCCATGCCCCTGTCCCTCCACTCAAGAAAAAAAATCCTGAATTGGCTGTACTAAGGAGAAGAAAGCTTGAGAGCTAGATATTCAGTTGTGTATACTCAGAATAGCTGACTTTTTAACTGATTCTTATCTACAACAATGATCATGAAGAGGCAAAGAGAAAGGAGAGACAAGGCTACCTTTCCAGTTATATATGCCTCCAACCCAATCAAGTAAGGCTATTTCCGGGCATGTAAAAAAATTTTTTTTAATTCTAGCATTCTAGCATTCTTTCTCCTCCATTTTGGATTCAGCACACGCAACTTAGATTTCTACCCACAAATGGAATCCCAAATGCCAGTCTTTGGCAGGGGTCTGTACATGCAGAAGTGGGGTCTCAGAATACTTCCCCAAAGTCCACTAACTTGACAAGCTAAAAAGCAAAGTAGAGGCATTAAAAAAAAATTTTTTTAACAGTTTTTTGATTTATTTATACTCGTTTTAAAATCAATTATCAACTCTACTCACTATTTGGTGGCCCTGTTGCCTGGTATGGTGGATAGGATGCTGAAACAGTAGGACGGGAGAAGACTGGAGGTTCATCTCCGAACACCACAATCATGACCTGAATAAGCCCCAACAAGTCTGACTGTGGCTAAAAAGGAAAACAAATGCAAGTCAACTATTGATTTGCTTTTATACAAAAATGAAAAGTTTGGCCATTTCTCATCAGTTTTCAGCTCTGCTCAATAATTTTCTTTGTGGGCTCCCGATTATGAAAATTCTCTTTATTTATCTTAATAAGTTAGGAGTTTTATTAAACTGTTACTTGAAATAAAGCTGTTGTTTCATGTATATAAAAACAGAACTAGCCAAAGCTGTATATTGCAAAATTCAAGTAATATTCTTTTTCATTTGATTTCATACAACTAATCGAAAGTTATTTTATTACAAATGGACAAATTAAGTATACTGTACAAATTCAGGAATAGATGTAAGCAGCAGCAGTAATATTGTTTAAGGTCTTTAGTATGTAACAACGGTACTCCAGAAATATGTTAATAAAGATATTATGAATTCTGGACATTAAGCTTAGAAATACAAATACTAGGTTGCTGTCCAAGAAATGCAAATTGTTAAAAGAGCTTTCCTTCCAATACCTTAGTTTAAAAGAAAGTATCTGCTTTTCCATAGAGATTGCTTAATCTTCTATTTCAAGTATCTATTGACCACTAATTTAAGACAAATTATGCTAGGTGAAGTTGTTCAAATGACTTATTTGATGGTTTCATTTTCCCTCTTTAACATATTTATGTTATCTCAAATGCTTCTTCATTAATTCATCCCATCCTGGCAGATTACTCAATCATTTTGATCAGCCAAACATCTTTATAACATGATTTGCTGACAAATCCTTACCTTCTGTAATGGCCTAACTTTTCTTCTGTTTGAAGAGTTTACTAGCAGCTTTCACCTTTCCAAAACACCCAAATATCTTGTTTGTTGAATTCTGGCTCAACATAAGACAATGATAAATGACATTTCTGAAAGCTCCCTGATTCCCTTTGTTGCAATACCCTTCTCATATCAGTCTGTGAATTCATATGCTGAATAGGGGGTAAGCATGTGTAGGACCTGGGAAGGACCCAGAGATGTGTGTTAGGGTAGTAGCTGATTGGGGGGATGACCACTGAGACCACATACTTTTACCTCTCTTTAATTTTTAGAACATTGAAAAACTCTCAAACTAAATCAGAACCTCATGCATTCTTTTTTTGTGTGTGAGAAAAAAATCACATACAATTCACCTTTTTAAAGTGTACAGTTCAATGTTTTTATATTCACAAAGTTCTGCACTTATCATTACCCTAAATAGAAACCTATACCCATTAGCAGTCTCTATCCATTCTTTCCTACCTGCTGGCCCTTGACAACCACTAATCTACTTTCTGTTTCTATGCATTTGCCTATTCTGGTCATTTCATACAAATAAAATCATATAATATAAGAATTTTTATGTCTGCCTTCTTTCACTTAACATAATATTTTCAAGGTTCACCTATGTTGTAGCATGCATCAGTGCTTTATTCATGCATTCTTATAATCACAGTTTTGTCAGGACAAGTTCTACTTGAATTCTTTATACTATTCCTTCATACTAAATTCTTTAAAGGAAAGATATTTAATCAACTCTTTAATATCTACTCCTAGGCCTACTGGGAGCTCTGGTAGCATAGTGGCTAAGGCACTTGACTGCTAACCAGAAGGCTGGCGGTTCAAACCCATCAGCCACTCCTCAGAAGGAAGATGGGGCAATCTACTTCCGTAGTGATACTGCCTCAGAAACCCAGGGAAGGGGTCGCTGTGAGTTGGGTTCGACCCAACGGCACTTAACAACAACAACAACAACAGCTATTATAAATCGTAGGTCATGAATTCAAAGTAATTAAAATATGACTTGGTGATTAAGTTGGTGGTTTTGGTGGTGCTAGTTGCCGTAGTAGTTAAGGTTGTGTGTCAACTTGGCTGGGCCTGGTTTTGAGTTGCTGGGCAGCTGGATGTAGTTACTCCCCATGGTGAGATTAAATTCCCTGGTGGAATCTACTGGAACAACTGAGTAGCTGCCTTAGGAATGTAGTCTGCTTCAGTACATAAGGAGAAGTGTTGAGAAAGGTCTCAGCAGCTTGGCATGTCTGAATCCTTCATGTAGCCGGGTCACTGCAGGCTGCCATGTTGTCTGCCCATCTTAGGACTGTTAATGGACTTGAAATCAGTGGCCTGCCATGTGGTTTGATAATCCTGAGTCTGTGCCATTTTACTTGACCTTGGGTTTGCCAGTCTCAGCAGTTAGCAGGTGCCTGAGTAAAGAGACATCTCTGGCTCCAGTGGGCCAGGAGCAAGAGGCAGAGCTGAAGCCCAAGGTCAAGGGGCTTTCACCCAGCCCCTAGAGCTGACACTTTGAACTCTAGACTTCTAGCCTCCAAAACTGTAAGAACTTCTGTTTGTTAAAGTCATCCATCTGTGTTATTTTCTGTTAGAGCGGCACTAGAGAACCAAAACAGTTGCCATCAAGGCAACTCCAACTCATGGTGACTCCAAGTGCACAGAGCAGAACTGTAATCCTTAGGATTTCCAAGGCTGTGACCTTTTGGAAGCAGATCACTAGGCCTTACTTCCAAGGTGCCTCTTGGTGGGTTTGACTCACCAATCTTTTGGTTAGTGGTGGTGGTGGTGATAGTTGCCACTGAGTTAACCCTGACTCATAGTGATCCCATATGTGCAGAAGGTTTACAAGGCTGCGACACTGCAGAAGCAGGCTGTCAGGTTCTGTCTACTGAAATGCTACTTGATGGGTTCAAACTACCAACCCTTTTGCCAGTAGTCCAGGGCTTAACATTTGTACTACCCAGAAAGCCGTAGATTAAGTTGGTACAGGATATGAAAAAAGTAGTATTGCAGCAGTTTATCTGAGCTCAAATATCCAAGGGTTGACTGAAACATAATTATCCTTTATAGAATTGTTTTCCCATTTAAAACTCTGAAAACTTAAAGAGCAGAATTCCTCTCCTTTATCCCTTTTTCACTTATTTTTTCAACAAGCAATAACAAGGAAGCATTTTACACTGTAAGCAGTATTTAACAGATGTTCAGGATCAGAATAAGCAATTAATTAATTAATATGTATCTATGTATCTATCTATCTATCAAGATAAATAGCAGGAGCCAAAGCATCCTGTGTCATGCTACATTAGTGTACTAGCGTCCTAAGTGACTTCCAGTTTTACTTATCTATTATGACTGAGACGGTTGTCTACAAAAGTTCATGCTCCCCCTCCATAGTACAGAGTAGATCCAGCCTTCCTTGCAACTAGTTCTTCCTAATGGAAAATAAATAGAAGTGATGAGTTTAACTTCCAGCCCAAATAGGTAAGAAGAGGTGTTCCTTTTCCACTCTCTCTTTCCCCATCTTTCTTAATGCAGAGGACTCTGAAGTCCTGGGTAGCATGGAAAATTGGAAAGAGCCTTGGTCTCTGAAGCACCAAGTAGAGGAATGCTGTCTGCCAATGAGGAACACTCATGTGGGGCTATTATAGGGCAAGAAATAAATTTCTATAGTGTTACGTTTCTAACGTGTTGAAATTTTTTTAAGATTAGCTGCCATTACCCTAAGATGTTTATCCAGTACACTTTAGTCAGTGTGCCTTAATAATCACTGCTTTAATAAGCTGCTCTTGTTTAAAAAAAAAAAAAAACCTAAAATGACTATGCCTATTCAAGAACACAGTCAAGACATTCAAGATCCTCTATGGTATAACCTCATCTACCATACCAAACTTAAGTCACCATTATTTTTTCTGTTGTTGGATTTTTTTTAATATGTTATACCTTATAGAAATGTATTAAAAATATGTACATTTTAAAGAGTAACAATAAAGAATACACCTGTGTATTCATCGCCTTAGCTAAGAAACAGAATACTGTAGTAATTCAGAAGTTACTCATATTTTCCTCGCTGGCCACATCTTCCTCTATCTACTCCAGAAGTAACAACTTCTCGGATTTAGTTGATATTCATTCTTTTGTTTTACTTTAAGCATGTTACCTATGATTTCCTAAACAGTATAATGTTTAGTTTTGTCTGTTGCTGAACTTTAAATAAATTATTCTTTTTTGACACATTTCTGATGTTTAGCATTATGTTTTTAAAATTCATTCTTATTACATTTAGGTATAGTTAATGCTATATTTAGTGTTAATGCTACATATAGTGTTCAGGATCCTGTAAGCCCTAGTGGCACACTGGATAAGGATTCAACTGCTAACTCAAAGGTCGGTGGTTCAAACCCAGCAGCTGCTCCATGGGAGAAAGACTTGGCAGCCTGCTTCTGTAAGATTCACAGTCTTGGAAACTTTATATGGCAGTTCTATTCTGTCCTACAAGGTCACTGTAAGTCAGAATTGACTAAATGGCAATGGGATTTATATGATGTTCACAATCATTTCTGTGTCTGTACCTGGTAACTAGGTCACCTAGTTGCAGGGTCTGCTTCTATTTTTTTTCTTTCCTCTTAGTCCTCTCTCTTCGTATACTTGAAAGTCAGTCATCAGCCCTTATCTGTACTTATCTACACTGGAATCCTTCTCTAGTGTCAATAAAAAGCAGATGATAGTGATCAAAATATATTAAACCAATTCCTTCGACACTATTATACTTACATGTTTCCATTCGTGTAGATAAGGAAGATATATTTTCCCATTTGCATCAACATGCTTTCCTGTTTTAATAGTCATTGAACTAGTTGGCTTAACAAAACAGATAGGAGGGTTATATGGATATGTGTCCAGCAGCCACAGGCATATTGGAATGTTGTATGTATTACCTGAAAAAGAGAAACTTCACTTATTCTATTTTTATTATTTTTCAATAACCATAAGAAACGGCTATACCTAAGTAAAACTTTTTTTAAAAGATATCACAGCAAATATTTTAGGGCATTACATTCTTCTGTTTTAAAGTTCTGCTTAAGATCAATTTCTCAAATTTTCACATTGTATAAGCTATTAGTAAGATGAAAGAGCTAATACATCCCAAAGATCTATTGGATCAAAGGTTATGACAGAATTAATAAATTAAACATAAATCATATCAGAATTGGGCATTTTTACAATGCTTATTCAAACAACTATTTGAATTGTCTAACAATGCTGAGATATATTTTTCCATTAAAACAGTTTCACTATATACAAAGTTGTACACATAAATTTCATAAAGACGTAAGACAGTTGTAGGGTTTTGGATTTATTTTCTTTATCAAAATTACTTCTAAAACGGAAAGAAGGCAGGAATCTACCAATAGAATATAGCTTAATATATAAAATAAGTTATTCCTATTACCGAGAATTCTTAGCTTTGTGAAAATGAAGAATTTCCCAAAATTACTTAGACTTTGGAACAATACAATATGAGGAATGGTCAAGGGAAATGAAGCTCAGTTTAGATAAAATTAGGAGTATAAATAATAAATGTTTTTAATTATGTCTTCCACAGTTTCCTGGCCCCACCACACACCCACACACACATACACACAAACCTATTTCCCTTACTAGAGGTTATTTCCTGATGGCAAAAGCAAGATCAATAATCTTGAACTTTACTCAGTCCATCCTAACTTATTATAGGTTTTATATGATGCTGATACTCTAGTGTTTTTCCCTCTCCCTAGAATGTCTATTCTGTTATGACATTCTAACTCACCCTTTAATATCAACTGTCTGTGATCTTCCCATGTGGCATTTTTCTCCTCTGTAATTTATCACTCTAAACCACCTTGGAAACACGAGTAGTGGTCACTATGAGTTAAATCAACTCAAAAGCAATGAGTTTGGTTGTATTAGTTATAAAGGAGGTCTGGTGGGGTAGTGGTTAAGGTATTTGACTGCTAACCAAAAGGTCAGTAGTTCAAACCCACCAGCCACTCTGCAGAAGAAAGATGAGGCAGTCTGCTTCCATAAAGATTTACAGCCTCAGAAACCCTATGGAGGGTCACTAGAGCTGGAAACAACTCAATGGCAACAAGGTTGTTTTGGGGGGGTTTACAATAGTTGTAAAATATATCTATTTTTTCCACTGTATCCCTTCTAGAGTGAGCTATTCCTGAGAAGGTACATCCTTATTTATCTTTGGATCTAGAGCTTCTATTACTATGCCTCATGCATAGTAGGTACTATGTAAAATCAGTAGGTAAGAAGTTATAGGAAAACAGGTCTTAGCTAGTCACAGGAAAAATTATCTAACAAACAGAACTGTCTATCATGAAGCTGGATGTTGGTTTATCACTGTTAAGTATTCCAGCAGAGGGTGGCTGACTGGCTAACAAAGAGGTTATTCATTCTTGTTATCATCAACACAACAACCATAAATAGTAGCTACTTTTTGTTGTCTGCTTAATACATGCGAGTTAGTTATTATTACCCAAACATTATAGTTGCTTATGGTCACAAAACTATTAGAATAGACAGTAAGAACTCAAAGCTAACTGTTTTGCTTTTTAAGCCTGTATCTTAGCCTCTGTACTATACAGCTTCCCACTAGTCAGAAAAGTGGGACTTATCTACATTGGACTTACTGTACTTATTATTATCATATTCTTGTATTTTAGATTTCCCAGACCTTTATTCTCACTCATTGTCCTAACAATCCCAATACCAAACCACAGTATTGAAAAAAGTTTTCACTCAAAAGAACAATTTTAATACCAACATTTTTTATATCACACAAGTTTTCCATCCACAATTAACTCATTATTTAGGACACATAATCTGTCTGAGTGGGGTGGGAGACTGAACTAGAATTCCCTTTCTAGTTCTCAGATTCTCTGACTCTTCTAGTACACTTAGGCATTTATTTGTTGATACATCGTGGAAAGGAAGTGGGGGAAAAGCTGAAAATGTTAACTGCTGCTATCAAATGAAGATCAATTAGAAGTTGAAAATCTCTGCATCATCATGAAAGCCATAAGAAAGTAGGTTTAATTTTATTTTAAATTTCTTTGGCAAAATATTATCGTGTAAAGCAATACATTCACACTGGAAACATAAATGACAAAAGATATTTATTTACCTCTATAAGGCACAGGAATTGTTCCAGTGAGGTTCATTAGCTCCCTTGAACTGCCATCATTGAAAACTGAAAGGAAAGAATGATTTAATTGTAAGTATTTTCATGGATAATCCCTTATAAATTAATCTTTCAAAAATACTGGTTAAATTCATTATTTTCCTTGAAAGGAACTACCTTGTTAATGTAACATTCATTTTGTCCAGTTACAAAATGGTTTCTGTTGATTTACTCATTGGAATCAGCTTTTGAATGAGCACAGGAAGGAAGCTTTAAGTTACATGGAAAAATGGATGTGAAAACGAACTTCCAGGTGACTATGAGCTCTGGGTCCCCAGTTAATATGAGGACAAAACTATGTAAAAATCCCTATGAAATGATACCATACTAACATTTATTACTATCATATTATTGTATTTTAGGCTTCCCAGACCTTTATTCCTCACTCATTGTCCTATCAATCTCAATACAATACCAAACCACTGTACTGAAAAAAGTTTTCAGTCAAATGGAAACAATTTTAATATCAACATTTTTTATATCACCCAAGTTTTCCATCTACAAATGACTGATTATTTAGGGCATATAATCTGTATTGGGAGCTCTGGTAACATAGTGCCTAAGGCATTTGACTGCTAACCAGAGGGCTGGCGGTTCAAACCCACCAGCCACTCCTCAGAAGAAAGATAGGGCAATCTACTTCCATAGTGACACTGCCTCGAAAACCCAAGGAGGGGTCGCTATGAGTCAGGTCCAACTCGACGGCACATTACAACAACAACAACAACAATCTGTATTACATGAACTGCTATTATATCTAACAATGACAGCGTGAATACTGTACCACACAGGGAAAAAATTGTAATGGGCAGCACAAGAACTTACAGCTCCACTGTTGGTTTCCATTCTCCTAGCTACTGTTAGGACCTCTGGTAGCATAGTGCCTAAGGCACTTGACTGCTAATCAGAAGGCCAGCTGTTTAAACCCACCAGCCACTCCTCGAAAGGAAGGTTGGGCAATCTACTTCCCTAGTGGTACTGCCTCGGCAACCCAAGGAAGGGTTGCTATGAGTTGGGGCTGACTCAGTGGCACATAATATAACAATAACAAGCTACTGCTGGTAATTATAAACTGTGTTGTAATGTATTCTGATTACGTGTTTTAAGAAATATTTTATTTGAATTTGCAGCTTTGTTCACCATAAAAGCAGATTTTGATAATAATGGTTTAGACTTGGTAGAGTTCTACAAAGCTATGCAAGACTTGTTTAAAATGAGAGAGTCCATCAGTTTTGATCAACACAGTTATTCTTTTAGGATGTAGTAAAACTATATATTTACAGTAAAGTTCTAGCTCCAGTCACTTTTTTCTCCCTTGAAGTAATTTTCTCAATTACATTTGGAAATAAGAGTTTTTAAAAATAATTCTAAATACAATACTACAGTAGAACATTTTATTCTACCTTAACAATGTGGACAGGCTTAAGGTAGGTTTAAATGAGGGGGTACTGTGAACTAGGTTTGGGAGAAAACTTCTGTTTCATGTTTTTGCTGTTCAGGAAGTACAGGGTTGATAGTCCCTCCATTGCCTCCTTTCTCTTTTCATCAGGATCCAAAGGTTTTCAAAGCCTTAAGAGTTGGTAGCTCTGGTAAGGTGAGGCATTTGACTGCTAACCAGAAGGCTGGCAGTTCAAGCCCACCAGCCACTCCTTGGAAGGAAGAGGGGGCAATCTACTTCCGTAGTGATACTGCCTTGGAAACCCAAGGAGGGGTCACTATGAGTCGGGTCCGACTCGACGGCACATAACAACAACAACAAGAGTTGGTAGAACTAACAAATCTGTCCTGGACGAAGTGCAGCTGAATGCTCCTTGGAGTTGAGAATGGCCAGACTTCGTCTCACCTACTTTGGTCATGCTGTCAGAAGGAACCATTCCCTGGAGAACGACAGCACGCTCAAGAAAGTAGAGGGTCAACAAAAAAGGGGAAGGCCCTCAATGAGATGGATTGACACAGTGGCTGCAAAAATGGGCTCTGGTATAGCAAGTATTGTAAGGCTGGCACAGGATCGGGCAGTGTTTTGTTCTATTGTACATAGGGTCGCTACAAGTCGAAGCTGACTTGATGGTACCTAACAACAACAAGAGCGGGTGGAGTTTAGAGTGCTAGTCTAAAGGAACTTTAAATTCAGTCCTTTGTCCTCAGGGTCAATCATAATGGATATGAGGCAGCCTGGGTTTTCCCTTAGTCCTAGCACATTACGTATTTTCAAAGAGAGAGGATTAGAGAGATTTATGTTAGGATCAGTGTGGTCAGAAAAGATCATTTTTTAAAAAAATCAACTTTAGGCAGGATTATTTCTCACTTAAATCTCAACTTCATTTTGTCTCAAATAAAAAGCAGAAACAAATTGCCAGCTATCTACTGTTAGATATGGTCCTTAATTGGACCATACTAGGAAATGTTTTCCTCATCTATAAAATGAAAAGGATAGTCCAGAGCTTAGTTTCACAAAATGTGTTGCTGAGATTACAGAGAGACAGATGCTCTAGGGAGTAAAAAGGGAAGTAGAAAGTCAATAACTTTAGGATATATATAATATACTCTCTTCTCAGTGGTGTACAACACACTAGCATATTAAAGCTCAGAGAAATCTTGTTGCAAAGAAACTTATTTAATTTTATTTAATTTAGAATTACTCAAACTTAATCACAAAACTTTCCTTGACCAACTACTACCATTCTTCAAAACTAGGGATCTATGCATGTATTTTGGGAAAGCGGGACTAAATTACCTTTAATATCCCCTCTATGTCTAAATTTGCTTGATTTTGTGTTAGAGTACTTTTAAAAACTTAAGAATTAAACAAATATAAGATGCTATTATTAGACATTATAATTTCTTACTCCCTAAACCTTTTTTTAAGATTTAAGTTTTGCCTTACAATTTTAAAACCAACAAATTTAAAAAGAAAATGGGAAACTCACAACCATTATCAGAAAGAGTAAGCTCAAAGTACAGTAAATGACATTTTTATTACATAAACTCACCATATGAATCCAATACAGGTTTGAGATCTTTGTATAGAGTAATAACATTGACAGTTTCACGTACAGTTAGGTCTCTGTATTTGTACTGAAAAGCAAAATCACATAAGAACTCAGCTTAAAATCAATGCACATATTTTACTGTCAGGTTAATTTCTTAAAATATTTTTTCCATAGCACTTTACTTCATAGCACAAAAGTACAATGGTTCTCACTAATCATTAACATTATTTTAGGCCCAAAAGAACCTCAGTAGCTTTCTCTCCTGCCACCTACTGGAATTCTATATTGAAGTTATTTATCTCCATTGGGTCTTCCACAAAACCAAACTTTAATCATTCTCAGACTTTGTTTCTCCCTCTTCTTAAAGAATACTCTTCCAGACTTCCCTTTAGCCTCTTAAGATCTCCCCCTTTCATCCAAACCCCAGCAATTACTGTCCATACCAATTATGTTCCAATTTATCATTTGCAGCTTATAGTTTCACATCCCTACCTTGTACCACTCTACTTCAAGAAAACTAATAACCTAGTTTATACAATCTGGCAGGCCATTAGATCAAGAGATCGGGATGTGACTACAACACACTGAGGAACTTCATGAGCTGATAAGCTCCATCCACCCACAGAAGTTTTCAATCAGATTTTAGTGCTCCTCTTTTAGAAACACCTTCACTTGTCTGTCAATGTGTCATACAGTTATGGCTTTTGTGTTGCTGTGATGCTGGAAGCTATCCCATCAGTATTTCAAATACCAACAGGGTCACCCATGGTGGACAGGTTTCAGAAGAGCTTCCAGACTAAGACAGAATGGGAAGGAGGACCTGGTGATCTACTTCTGAAAAACCTGGCCAGTGAAAACCTTGTCTTGGCAGTGGAAAACTGTCCGATACAGTGCTGAAAGATGAACCCCCTCAGGCTAGAAGGCACACAAAATACTACTGGAAAAAAGCTGCCTCCTCCAAGCAGAGTTAACTTTAATGACGTGGATGGAGTAAAGCTTTTGAGACCTCCGTATGTTGATGGGGCATGACAAAATAACAAGAAATACCTGCAAACATTCAATAATAATCAGGACATGGAATGTACAAAGTATGAATTTAGGAAATTGGAAGGTATCAAAATCAAATGGAATACTTAAAAGACAGACGTCCTAGGCATTAGTGAGCTTAAATAGACTGGTATTGGCCATTCTAAATCAGACAATCATATGGTCTACTATGCCAGGAATGACAAATTTAAGAGAAACAGTGTCACATTCATTGTCGAAAAGAGCATTTCAAGATTCATCCTGAAATACAACATTGTCAGCAATAGGATAATATCCATAAGCCTACAAGACCAGTTAATACGAGTGTTATTCAAATTTATGCACCAACCCTAATGCCAAAGATGAAGAAACTGAAGAAATTTATCAACTTTTGCAGTCTGAAATTGATCAAATATGCAATCAAAATGCATTGCTAATTATAGGTGATTGGAATGCGAAAGTTGGAAACAAAGAGGATCAATAATTGGAATATATGATTCTGGTGATACAAACAAAGCCAGAGATCATGATACAATTTTTCAAGACTTATTTATTGGAAATGTCTTTTTTCAACAACATAAATGGTGACTATATACATGGACCTTGCCAGATGGAATACACAGAAATCAAATGAAATACATCTGTGGAAAGAGACAACAGAGAAACTCAGTATCGTCAATCAGGATAAGGCCTAGGCCTAACTGCAGAACAGACCATCAATCGCTCATATGCAAGTGCAAGCTGAAGCTGAAGAAAATGAAAATAAGTCCATGAGAGGCAAAGTACCACCTTGAGTATAAAAACAACCAAATTCACTGCTGTCAAGTCGATATGACTCACAACGACCCCTCCTTGGGTTTCTGAAGCAGTACCTCTATGGAAGTAGATTGCCCAATCTTCCTTCCAAGGAGTGGCTGGTGGGTTTGAACGGCCAGTCTTCTGGTCCCCACCTGAAGTTAGAGGCCATCTCAAGAAAAGATTGAGCCTATAGAACACCAAAGACCAGATGACTTGTAGGATGACACGAAGGCCGTCATATATGAAGAAAGCAAAACACAGGAAAAAAAGAAAAGACCAAACTGATGTCAGAAGAGACTCTAAAACTTGCTCCTGAACACAGGAATAGCAAAAGTGAACAAAGAAATGATGAAGTGAAAGAGCTAAACAAAAGATTTCAAAGGGTGGCTCGAGAAGAGAAAGTAAAATATAATGAAATGTGCATAAGACCTGGAATTAAAGACCAGAAGGGAAGAATACACCTGGCATTTCTCAAGGTGAAAGAACTAAAGAAAAAATTCAAGCCTTGAGTTGCAATAGTGAAAGATTCTATGGGCAAAATATTGAATGACACAGAAAGCATCAAAAGAAGATGGAAGGGGGAAAAGGAAAAAAAAAAGATTTATAGCCTTGAAAACCCTATGGGTCAGTTTTACCCTGCCCTGTAGGGTCACTATAAGTCAAAATTGACTCAATGACAATGGGCTTAGTTTTGGTCTTTTACAGAGCAAATTAATTTCCCATTCAAGAATTCATACAGATTTTGCTTTGTGACACTGATTGCATTCCCTATAATAAAACAGCACTCTTCCCACCTCAAAAAAAAAAAAAAAGAAAGAAAGAAAATGGAAAGAACATACAGAGAGTCACTGTACCAAAAAGAATTGGTTGACATTCAACCATTTCAGGAGGCAGCATATGATCAAGAAAGAAGAAGTCCAATTTGCACTGAAGTCATAGGAAAAGAACAAGGCTCCAGGAAATGACAGATTGAGATGTTTCAACAAATATAGTGCTGGAAGTGTTCTCTCACCCATGCCAAGACATTCAGAAGACAGCTACCTGGCCAACAGACTGGAAGAGATCCATATATGTGCCCATTCCAAAGAAAGGTGATCCAACAGAATGCGGAAATTATCTAACAATATCATTAATATCACACACGTAAAATTTTGCTGAACACAATTCAAAAACAGTTGCAGCAGTACATCAACAGGGGACTGTCAGAAATTCAATTTGGATTCAGAAGAGGATGTGGAACAAGGGATATCACTGCTGATATCAAATGGATCTTGACTGAAAGTAAGTAATACCAGAAAGATGTTCACCTGTGTTTTACTGACTATGTAAAGGCATCTGGCTGTGTGTATCTTAACAAACTACGGATAACACTGTAAAGAATGGGAATTCCAAAACACTTAATTGTGCTTATGAGGAACCTCCACATTTACCAACAAGCAGTTGTTTGAACAGAACAAGGGGTTTGCATTGTTTAAAATCAGGAAAGGTGTGCCAGGGTCATATCCTTTTATCATATTTATTCAATCTGTATGCTGAAGAAATAATCTGAAAAGTCAAACTATATGGAAAAGAACATGACATCAAGACTGGAGGAAGACTCATTAACAACCTGCAATATGCACATGACACAACCTTGCTTGGTAAAAGTGAAGAAGACTTGAAGCACTTACTGATAAAGATCAAAGACTTCAGCCTTTGGTATGGATTACACCTCAACATAAAGAAAACAAAAAAATCTCACAACTGGCCCAAGAAGCAACATTATGATAAATGAAGAAAAGACTGAAGTTGTCAAGGATTTCATTTTACTTGGATCCACATTCAATGCCCACGGAAGCAGCAGTCAAGAAATCAAACAATGTACTGCATCGGCAGATCCGCTGCAAAAGAAAAGATGTGACTTTTGAACTAAGGGGTGCTTGACCCAAGCAATGGTATTTCCAAACATATCATAAACATGTGAAAGCTGGACAATGAATAAGGAAGACTGAAGAAGAATTGAAGTCTTTGAATTACAGTGTTGGTGAAGAACACTGACTATTCCATGGGCTGCCAGAAGAACAAACAAATCTATTTTGGAAGATGTACAACCTGAATGCTCCTAAAAGCATATACTTTGGACATGTTACCAGGGGGCACCAATCCCTGCAGAAGGCATCAAGCTTGGTAAAGCAAAATGTTCACAAAAAAGAGGAATACACTCAAATGTATTTAATAAAAAACAACAAAGAAGAGGAATACCGCAAAGAGATGGACTGACACAGTGGCTAAAACAATGGGCTCAGACATGGCACCTATTGTGAGGATGGTGCAGGTCTAGGCAGTGTTTCATTTTTATTGTTTACAGGGTCACTATGAGTCGGAACTGACCCTATTACATCTAACAATAACTCTCAGAGATTAAAACAGAGACAGAGGAATTCTGAAGTATCAGAGATAAGGGAAGGAGCAGAAGACTGCAAAAATAATTAGCATTAATAATTTCAGAGAAAATAAATTACACTGTGTCCATGAAAACAACACTCAGAAAACAGAAAGAATATGGTCTGAAAAATGTTGAGATGAGAAATGAAACATTCAGTTGTAGGATTAAAATATAATGTCAAAGAAATCTCATAGAAACTAGCACAAAAAGACAAACTGAAAGACACCAAGGGAGAAATACAAGAAAAAATAGGGAATAAATTCAGAAGGTCTACTCAAAGACATCTGTCAAGCCTTTGTTGTTCCTACCATCCTGTAACACCAATTTTTCCATCCTCAATAAACATATTCTTCCTCCTTTCTTATTCAAACAGTGTCCTGACTTCCCTTTCCTTTCCATCTATCACCATACTACTCGGTCCTTCTTTATAGCAAAAAATTCTCACACAAGGAGCTGCTTACGTTTGCTTTCTTCCTACTCTCTCATTTTAAAACTTACTATGGAAAATTTCAAACATATCCAAATATAGACAGAATGGTATAATGCACTCCCTATATTCACCAACTGAATTCAACAATAATCAACTCATACTCTATCTTTTAAATCTATAATTTCATCCACTTTCCCTTTCTCCTGTATTATTCTGAAGCAACTGATGTCCTATCAATCCATAGTATTTCAGCATGTTTTTAAGATTGTTGTTAGGTGCCATCAACTCGGTTCGATAAAGCTTAAAAAGGAGTAATAACCAAAATATTTTTATCATACCATATAACTATTCTTATCTCATATTTTTTGTTTGTATATTTGAATCAGGATGCAAATAAACCCCTTAC